TCCAATTTTCACCGATTTTCACCAGATTGAAAGTCACTGGAAATGACTGGAAGTCATTGGAAATCACAGAAAATCACTGAAAATCAATTGATTTTGGGTGTTTTTAACTAACTTTGGGCTGATTTCAATCAGCTGTTTCCCCCTTGCTACACAGACAGTCATCACATTGGACCTTGACCACAATCAAAGCGGCGCTGATGGGGCACGACATGTCACAGATACCTTACGTGGAAACACGGTGATTGTCATTCTCTCTTCATCTGTCTCTCCCATTTCCATGTTCTACTCGCCACATCAAACCTTTCGAAGAATCAGATCAGTGTCCAGAGGGTCCACAGGATGCCTTACGTAGAATCACGGTGACAGTGTCATTGTTTTCTTAATCTCATTTCTATCTTCCGCTATCCACATAGACACTCACCACATTGAATCTTCGTGAAAATTAAATCAGAGATGATGAGGCATAATACCTCGCTGATGACTTACGTAAAAACACGGAAACCGTTCTTCTCTGTTCATCTGTCTCTCTCATGTAAGTGTTCTCCTGCCCGCACAGATACTCACCAAACTGAACTTTTTGAGTAATCAGATCAGATGAGGGAGCACGACATCTAACTGAGGTTTTGAATAGGAACACGGCGATTGTCATATTCTCTGCATCTTTCTCTTATATCTCTGTTCTCCTGTCTACACAGACAATCACCACACTGAGCCTTGGCAACAATCAAAGCCGACACGACTATACCCAACGCTTGTCAATGTTGCTGAAGCGAAGTAATGAGTCACATTAGCCTCGTAAAAATACATTTATTCCTTACCTTGCCGAGTGCCTTTATGCATTCGATCTTGGTTTTACTTTTGCCGCATATTGTAAACAACTCAGGCCTGATCGGTTTAATAGAACGCACAACTTCAACGTATGATACTACCGAACGATCCATATTCGGGAAAATGAAGTTCTTATCTTGTTAATAAATTCCTACAGCTCAGATAACAGATGTCAAGCTTTTATTTAAGATATTAAACAAAGTTAAAAAATTTACTACTTCACGTGCAACCTTTGCTCGACCGAGCACCTCGCCTCTCTTAAGCTCTTTAAGCTTCCGCTCCTATTCATCGTCGTCTATACAAATGCAATGATTTGAAAAATAGGAGTGTGCTGAATCGAATAGGTTTTAAATCACCGTTCAGTAATCAAGACTGTGTCTTATTGAGTCTTTAACCGCTAGGCATTCAATGTAAGATTCTTGTAATCAATGTCCAAAATCGAACATGTATACTTGATCTTGCCAACACAATGTCCAATCCTCGAGCGTTGCATGTTCGATACTAAGATGTCAAGGGCAAAAAATAATCACAGGATGTACTTATCGAACTGTTGCGACATCATCTGCCATCCACAGGAGGTATCAAAAGAGATAGAGAAGACGCTACTTTGTTCGGAGATATTCAAATGTAGAATCATCACAGAAGAATGATCACTAGTCAATCCTTCAGGAAAAATTTTCCATATAAAAATTGTATACTTTCACCGTCTTACAGACCAAATGGCAACTTTGACAAAACGAGATGAAGAGTTCACAACAAAGATTATCAGCATAGTCTCTTACGGGGCCAAAATGTGGAAAAAAATAATAAATAAAAAATAATTTATTCATAATAAAAAATAATTTATTATGTAAATATGTAATATTATTAATACCAAATATTAAAGAGTTGGTATTACCAAATTATGAAACCCTATTAAAATAACAGATAATTTTCATGATATTGATTTATTTTAAATATTTAAGAAAAAAAGAATTAAAATTTTTTTTTAATAATGATGAAATAGTTGTTAAACCAAAAGGATTTTTTGGATTATTTACTAGAAATAAAAAACTTGTAGAGTATATGCAATACAGAAAGTGGCGGAAATTAAAATTTGAGTAAGATCTTTTAATCCCATTTATCTCTCTTCAGGATTCGCATCTAAAACTGAGTGGAATAGTATAGTTGGCTTTTTACCGTATCGGACCACGTTTGTTTTTTTCAAATTTCCACGTCGAAAACTTACCAAAAAATGAGAATTATAGAAAGTTTTCAAAATATATATCATTCGGCTTCGTTTTCAACGCTGATTCCAGATGTGCTGTTCTTTATTGCATAAAAATTGAGTTCTGATGGGGAAGGTTTAGACGTACGGTAGAATTTTTGGCCCCGGTTTATAAAATTTGAATTTCTCAGTAGGAAAGAAAAATGGAAAAAAAACGATAGGATTTCTTCAAACTCGTTTAAGGTCGGTTCTAATCAAGTAGAAAGATTGGATTCATCTCTTCACTAAAAGAATTAGATAGGTTTGCAAAACTGTTTATGAAGTTTTTACAAGGTGAGTTTAAGACGTTCACACTGAATACACCTTTAACCTCAACCTCGATCCAGCATCATTCTCATAATCAATTTTTCATAATCTTCTCCATATTTTGAGGTTTCAATAATGCAGAAATTGCATTTCTTGGTAGTTTTGTGCAATCAAACAAGATTAAGAACAGACAAGTTTCCATGCATAACAACTTGTCTGTTCTTAATCTTGTTTGATTGCACAAAACTACCAAGAAATGCAATTTCTGCATTATTGAAACCTCAAAATATGGAGAAGCTTTACGATGAGCCCTTGATTACGCCGAAAATTCTTCCTTGAGTCCATAAGGTACAAAAGTACTCACAAAGACGATCAATTTCGATACACAATTTTCGCTTTACTGAGCTTTATGGTCCTTCCAAAGGAGGTGTTGATGGGAACAAAGTTGGTCTAAGTTGGTCGCGATTCAAATCGCTATGATTTTAAGGTCTCAAGGTTTAAGAGTTTGGCTTTCTCAGTAAATCTATGTGACACGTCACGTCATTTCGCGAGAAACAGAAAAAAATCTATACACCGATCACTGTCAAAAATGTCCGAATTTTTCTTTCGTCTAATTTTTGGACAGCATCGTTTTTATAATTAGCGACAAAAATTGATTATGAGAATGATGCTGGATCGAGGTTGAGGTTAAAGGTGTATTCAGTGTGAACGTCTTAAACTCACCTTGTAAAAACTTCATAAACACTATTTCATCATTATTAAAAAAAAATTTTAATTCTTTTTTTCTTAAATATTTAAAATAAATCAATATCATGAAAATTATCTGTTATTTTAATAGGGTTTCATAATTTGGTAATACCAACTCTTTAATATTTGGTATTAATAATATTACATATTTACATAATAAATTATTTTTTATTTAATGTATATGTAATATTTCAATATGCTTACACATTTTTTCTTTATATCTGATATTATTTACATCAAAATTATTTAATGAAAATACACTATAAATTGTTATTTCATTAACATTAATAAAGAAATTCTTAATATAGCTAAACATATTTTATGAATACGGCGAAAGATCAGGAGCAAAAATAAGATGTTTTACATTTTTCCAAGTTTCAACTAAATTATTTATAGCACTATTACTTTTATATTATAAAAATATTGCAATGTCCAGAAGACGCAAGTGATGATCAACTAGACCGCCAACAACGGCACAATCAAACTCGATGTGGGTCCATAACTTCAAATATCTCGGCTCGATGATATTGTACAGCGAGACCGACATCAAAATGCGAAAAGGCCAAGCCTGCGGAGCCTTCTGGAAAATGAAAGATATCTGGGCGCTCAGAGACAATTCCAACTCGTATGTAGAAGACGTAAGAAAACTTGTATGTACAAGTTTACTTACGTTACCAACGCAATTGATCTTGGTAACAACGCTGTATTATTCTAGTAAACTTCTATGTACACAAAAGAATATAGAAATTTCCTCACGAGGGAACCGTTCCAGGTGCCCAACTCCGATTTGCTTCATTCATACCTCGTTTTATAGAGCACATCGAGCTGGTAAAAAGCCTAAAAGGATTTTTGTCCATGGCTCCTGAAGTCTCGGTTTTCTACAAAACCAGTTTCTGAGAAATTCTTAAAGATAATCAAAACCTTTCATAGTGAGGCATAATTGTAGCCCACACATTTCTGATTAAAATGAGACGTCTTCCAGCTCTACATGACCTTTCTTTGCAAAGTTATAGAATTCACAAGAAAAGCCCTAAATTAATTACTTCTTATTTCTACAGCTTTGAGCTGACAATGAACATTTAGGGCTTTTCTTGTAAATTCTGTAACTTTGTAAAGAAAGGTCGTGTAGAGCTGAGAGACGTCTCATTGTAATCAAAAATGGAATTTCGACCAATATGCGGAAGCTCACGAAAAGTTATACGGTTACAGAGAGAGTTTCCTGCTTTATTTCTCGTATGAATTGTCGGGCATTTGTTCTTGACTTTCGTCAGTTGATGAGAAATTATAGAAACTGAAACAGTCAGCTTTTTTCTATTCCTATGATTTTGACTAATAATTCTGTTAAAATGAATATTAATATGAAATGGTTGGCTACAATGCGTCGATGTATCTGATTTATTCATAATAATTATTCTGACGAAATTGACAGGAAAGAAAAGCATCACAATATCTACAAACATCGCTCAAAATAGCTTTAGTACCACAGAAATATCAAGTATTTGACTGAGGATAAAAAAATTTCACGATCACGTTCATCCGTAGATTTTCCAATCTTTTTGAAAGTAAAGGGACAGACTTTAATACTTAAACAAAGGTTGTTTTAGCGAAAAGAAGGAATAATGTGCCTCTGAAAACGGCTGTTCTTGTACAGACCCACAAAATGATTATCTTCAAATCTATAGATGCCGCCCATTTGTACTATAAGTAAGATATTATAATGACTAAATCAGATTCGTTGAGAAAAGATACATTTTCATGACTTAAATATATACTCGGACAAATGCTTCAATATTCCGTTGACATATAGGACAAGTTCTTAATGAGTGACCACAGGGCACGCATGTTGCCAGATGTCCACAAGGTATACAAGCTAATCGTTTTTCATCTTTCCAACAAATCACACAAGCATTTAATACAGTATTCGTTTGATCTTGTTGTGATTGTTGTTGTTTTACTTTGGATCTGCCAAAAGTTTCGGGTTCAATAACAGGGGACGGCTCCATTGACGATGTGAGAGTACACGGTTCCTTAGTCAGCGAGGTCATGTCAGCATTTTCCGTAGACGAAAATGAAGCAGACAATGGCGGTGTCATAGAAAATGAGATTCTTTGTGGTTCAGTGTTTTCTGTCTCTAAAGAAAAAGCAAGGTGACATATAAGTGCTTAAATACAAATTTTTTCATCTCAACATACCTTTAGCATTCTCTCGTATTTTTGTCATCTGTACACTTGGTATAATAATGTTTTCTATCTTTCCGTTGATATGATCAATTTGTTTTTGAAGTATTATGCATGCTAACAGTAAATCACAACTGCTTACAAAGTCATCATCTAAACAAAATATTCTGAGTAAATTTCTATGTTGTTTTGTGTATATAGAAGTTTAATTACGTTTCAAACGCAATTGATCTTCGTAACAACGCTTTATTATTGACAATTTGAAATTTTTGCTTAATAAACTTTGTGTAATTGGTAAATCTAATCTAACAGCCACTAATCTTAATAATGTACTGTCATCTAATATCTTTGATTGCGGATTAACCGAAACGGTTCTATTCATTGTTGAATTACTACTGATATTGTTGCTGTTTGAGTTCTCATTTATATTTGGTATAGACAATACTTTTGATTTTTGTTTATTTGCTCTTGAACATTCTGAAATATAAGAAATGAAATATTTTAAACACTTTTTCAAAAAAAGAAAGTTCACATATATTTATTACCTCGTTTCGATTCTTGAATTTTTTGATAAAGATCATCTCCACAAAGTTGTCTGACATAAGCACAATGAGGAAACCAACGAGCGTGTTCAATCATCGGATTATCATTCTGTTCCCAGCCGTGTAATGAACCATTACAATAGAAGCATGTTACTATTGTTTTTGTTCCTGTATAGTAGAAACCAGATTTGACTAAACTATCCACACATGGTAATAGTTCATTTGGCCATGTAGCGAATGATGCTTGTCGTTTTGAAATTTCTACGTATGCTACGTTACATGCCGCTGTCAATACAATTTCACCACAGCGTAATTGACTATTTCTATTCCCAGTACCATTATTATCATTGATCGAAACTGCTTGTAATGATGGACCGCCGTTTACAATCTGACTACTATTCGATAATATGTTTTTTCTTAAAATTGATTTTACATAAGGACAATTGGGAGACAATATTTTATGTATTTCTACTGGATCATCTGAGTGAACTTTCCATTGTTGACATACTATATTACAATAAATACATATGACACGATCACCTACGTTACAACTGAAAAACCCCGCTTCAACCATTTTTTCTCTAAATGAAATGTCATGAGGCCAATGAGAAAATGTTCGTTCACGGACTGGATGAATAGCGTCAACTTCAGTAAAATCATGTACAACGTTCAAGGATGGTGTAGAATATTGTTTTTGAAGTTGCTGATTTTGGTTTATTACATTGTCTACACATGCTAACGCTCCAGCTTTTTGTACTGTATTTATTGCTTCTGAGTGTGATCGTATGGCATTGACCGCTTTTTTCAAATCTTCAATAAGTAATCCAAATTTTTTCCGATGAATCTCTCCATGTAGTTTACACTGCTTTTCTGTTATATGTAACAACTTCATATTTTTGGCTGTTGAGGAGAAGTTTTGTTTATCGCACGATTTAAATACTTGATTAAAAGTAGAATTTAGAGTAAGAAATTTAGCAGCCATTTCGTTTTTTAATATCTTTATTTATTATTCACAAAACTGGAAGAAATACAATCTCTAAACAAAAGGTAAACCGTTTAGAATAACTTTTATTCATTTTTCCACGAGAAAGTATAAAAAATTGCTATTTGACTTATAGAATAAGGCGTGATCAACGCATAACCTTCGTTTCAAATTTTTTCGGAGCAGGGAAACTTCCAGGAAGATAGTAGCACTTCTTCAGTAACAAAGTTGATGTGCAAAAGAAAAGTAAAACAGCGACGCGCTGCTGATGAAAAAATAATTTCCACGAAGATTTTCTCCTAAAATTCAGGGAGATATACTTCTTCCATAATCGAAAGCCCTGGATCAGCGCAATTAGCCCGTCGCGCAAGAAAAGCTCGAAAGTCAAGGCGAAAAGACATGTAATTGTGTTTTCTGTAGGGCCTATAACCAAGACTACATTAACAGTGAGCATGTATGATTTCGTTTTTGTGTATGTAAATGAGCAATAATTGAAATAAAAATAAGGAAAACTGAGTATAGTTTACAGAATATATAATCTCTCTTTCGCTTCTAATTCTGACAAAAAATTCTAGATATCAAAGAACTTTTTGTTCTTGGTGTTAGGGATAGTTATGCAACTTGTGTTAAAAATGTCTTACCGTTTTCAATGAAGTGTTTCAAGCATAGATAGACTCGTCATAGAAAATCAGACGAATATATATAGCACTGGCTTTTATGCTTTGAAAAATACCTTCATACGCTTATTTGCTTTTCTCCAACTGAGTCATGTGTATCTGTATTGTAATGTAAAGAAAGGAATAAAAAGTTTCATACTTTTTTCGTTCTTTTGTGAAATCAATCCCATATTTATGTTTGCTTTTCTTGTACTGAATGAGTTATGCTGCGTCTATGAAAAATTGGAAAAAGTCCCATGTTTGCAAAAGAAAGTTAATAAAAAAACTCAACTTAAGTAACGGAAAAAAGCCCGGGAATATCTTTTTATTTAAATTTTTTATCACAACCTTTAGGTTTTTGAGCATATCTAAAAATTGGTACATATACATATATAACACTGTCTATCGTTTGTTCATCCTTTTTTTTTTAAACTATATTTATTTCTCATATTTATCAAATCGAACACACATCAAAAGAGAGCTAATGTCTCAGAGGAAGAGAGCAAGAGCTCCATTATTATTGGGGTGTACGCCGAATGAAATAAATAACTCTTCTCACTAAATACAGAAGAATGTAACCAAAAAGAAAAAGAAAATGAATACAATGAAAAAGACAAAGGAAAAAATCAGAGAGAAGACACTGTAACTATAAAACAAACAAGGAAAGATGTAAAGCTATAAATAACAAAATTTTTATAACAACAATACTATCCTTACTTGTGAAATCGGTTAGTAGATACAATATGCTCAATAACACTAGTATAGACGAATAGATATTGGTCTCTAGATAGGAACACTTTTAATAAGAAAAGATGAAGATTTATGGGTAGGGGTGGGTCTATGGTTTAGAGCTTTTGCTGTAAGACAGAACGCGGCGAACAGTATAAAAGTTTCACTGATCCTAATCAAGTAAGTCCTTTCTCTAATAGGAAATAGTTTTCGTGAGGTAAACACTTTAACAGGTTTTGCGGCGAATTCACTTGGTCTTACACAAAAGGCATGTTGAAACCGGGAAGAGAAGCGATCAACGAACATGCGACTCCACTGCTATTTCTGTTACACGAAAAATATTTTGTCCACATTCTTCGAGAGACCGCAGCAACGAATTGAGAGTGTTTCTATCGAATTTTTCGATCA